CATGTTATCAGGTATTTCAGCAGTTAGCTCCCAATCACATCTTCAGCAAAGATGAGAGAGTTATAGAAAGCAATCCTTGAAATAAAATTGTCTCCTTGTTCCTGAAAGGGATTTGTTAATACAGGAACTATAAAGATAGGGATGAAAGTTTGCTTATGCTTTATTTTATATTAAAAAAAAAGCTGCTTTATGAGGTACATTATGTAATTCTTAATAATAATTGTTATAGTAAAAAACCTCTGTATTGTGCTATGTGATTTTTACTTTTTGATACTTTATTTTGTACAGGAAAGGTCTTAATATCTCCACATTATGAGCTAGGACACTGAGATTCAAATAATATCAGTGACTTCTTCAAGGCATATGCTCTTCTTGTTGTTGTTGTTAAGTGCCCTAGAGTCAATTCTGACTCATAGCAACCCTTTATAGGGTTTCCAAGGAGCAGCAGGCAGGTTCTAGCCACTGGCCTTGTGGTTAGCTGTCATGCACTTATCATACAGCGCCTCACCAGGACTCCATTGAAAGCATATGTTGCTGTCGTTAAGTGTCCTGGAGTCGGCTTAACTTCATAGCCCCTTGTATAGGGTTTCTGAGGATATAGACAACGATAAAGCCTATTCTCCTAAACAGGTTTTTTGATTCAAAACCAAGAGTTTTTGTTGTTTTGTTTTTCATTGAACCATGCTGCATTTCCTAAACCCTTTTTAATCCTATTCTTCCTAGAAGAGCTACCACACCATTTCTCTTATCCTAGCTTTGACTGTTTTTTTTTTAAATGTTTTATGGTTAATTATGTGATAGTTTACATGGGAGAACATTAGCTTTACATTCATCCTATCATACATTGTTTCATTGCCATGGTTACAATCCCCTCCATGCACCATCAACCAACCAAAGTGTATACCCTGCAAGCCTGCCCCCCGGTCATCAGCACACAGTCCCTCTCCTTCTCTGGGTCTAGCACCCCCAGGCGCTCCATCTCTCCATGTCATCATCTCTGCCTCCATCTCTGGAACTCTGAATATTTTTGTGTAGCATTTCTCTTAAGTTTGAGGTTTCTAGAAAGGTTCAAGTATTGTCATGTCAAGATGTACATTGGTCATTCAAAGGAAGTCATTAAGTTAATAGTTGCAGAAAACATTTATCTTAAGAAAGACATTTCTTAATTTACAAACATGCAATTTCACTCAGCAGATATTGATGGAAAACCCACTGGTGGTGGTGGTGAGCTGTGGAGTCATTTCCAACTCATAGCAACCTGCATATACAATTTCTGAGGCTGTAAATCTTTAATGAACACCTGACCTTGAAGCCCGACCCATAACCACTACACTGCCAGAGCTTCTTAAGAATAAATATGTTGGTGTTATCAAGTGCCGTCAAGTCAATTCCAACTCACAGCCACCCTGTACAAAGTTTCTGAGTAGTAGCTGATGGGTTTGAACCGCCAACCTTGTGGTTTGTACTCCAGTGCTTATCCTACAGCATCACACCAGAAGTCTAAGAATAAATATACAGCAGACAAATGAAAACATGAACACAGAAAGAGGAACAAGATGCTGACTGTGAGGTTTAAGTGGACACCAATCTCTTATGACTAAGGTATCTGGGGAACCACAATCGTATGATGATAACACGGATAGCCTTAGTTGTTACGTTTATCAACTTAGGGAGTTTGAACAGAGGTAAAATCCATAGCTATTATAGCTCAGGAGTAAAGTCATGTTGCTGTTTGTTGCTGTGTGCTGTTGAATCAGTTCTGACTCATAACAACCCTGCATAGGATTTCCGAGGTCAGTGACTTAATTAAGGCATTTGTTGTTGTTGTTGTTGTTGTTAACTGCTGTGGAGTCACTTCTGACTCACAGGGACTCTTTATAGGGTTTCCAAGGAGCAGCTGATGGGTTTGAGTCACTGATCCTATGGTTGTTGTTGTTGTTGTTATGTGCGGTGGAGTCAGTTCCGACTCACAGCGACCTGTACAGGGTTTCCAAGACTGCAAATCATTACGGAAGGAGAAAGCCTCATCTTTCTCCCACGGAACAGCTGGTAGTTTTGAACTGCTGACCGTGAAATTAGCAGCCTTAGTCATAACCACCACTCTACCAGAGCTCCTTAATCCTATGGTTAGTCATCCAGTATTTATCCTACATAGCCACACCAGTATTCCAGTATTTGATTTTATGTATGTAGTAAGTGTAGCTCCAAAGGTAAAACTGATTTTATGGCAACACAGAAACATCATGAACTGCAAGAGGAGCTCCGTGTCCCCGTCACCACATTCTCAATCTAAGGAAAATGACACAAGAAAGCATCCAGTTAAGTATAAGACATCAAATGGCAAAAGAAGAAAAAGGAAGAAAGAGATGCAGTGACGAGGAAAAGGACATTTTAAAAACTGGAAACTGTTTCCTGAGGTAAATAGTCAATGTAAGTAAGTGGGAGTTGTCAAGGGGCTAAATCCCAAGGTAGCTGGAAACTCTGGCCTGTTTACCAATTTGCAAAAGACAAATATTAAGAATAAGAGAAGAATTTCCCAGATTTGCACAGAGAAAATGAATTACAGTAATTAAATGGAAAGACACGATACACCAGGACTGTATTAGACCTAACAGTATCTGGCTAAAACATAATAATGAATACACAAAGGAGAGGAGGAGGTGCAAGACCTTCTCATCTCATCTCTGTTTCGCCCAGTGCTTTAACTTTCTATCTCCTAAATTGATCTGGATTTAAAGACTGATTTGTGCTGTGAAGTTACACAGATTTTTTAACAATAATAATGTTATGTCTACTATTGGCACTTTTTCAGAACTGCCTTTAACTTTGAAACTATGACATGAAACTTCTCAGTAATTTCTGAAGCGTTTGGCTCTCCACCTGACAAATGTTACAGTGTGTATCAGTGTGTGTGTGTAACTTTTCCATTCACTTTATATTCTGCATGAGCTCTTTGTGCGTGTATGAGGCCTCTTTCAAAGTAATTAGGAAAACCCTTCTTAATGAGTAGTCAAAAGATTTCTGGTTTGAGATAAAGTGTATTTATCTCAAAATACACAATTAAGAAACAGTTCGATAGAATTGTGTATAAATGAATACTGGTTTTTAGAGACCAGGCCTACATCTTGCCCAGGGGAATCTCCATCCCCACGATGGTTTCACTATAGACATGGTCAGCTACTCCACAGCAGCAATGGCATCCACAGGCGTGAGGATGGTTCAGGACCTGGCAGTGTTTTGTTCTGTTGTGCATAGGGTCACTATGACGGAACCAACTCAATGGCACCTAACAACAACAACACTCCAAGGCAATCAATGCCTGATTCCTTCATGGGTGAAGCACCTTATAACAGGAATCTTCCTTTAGACTTCTGATGAGAAAGCTGTTCCAATCTAATGTGACGGAACAGTAGTTAAGAGTTTTTCAGGTTTCATTAGACAGTGAGCAGTTTATGCCTTTCCTCTATCCAACTGAGAGTAAATCCCAGAGAATAGGTGGTCTATGCCTGTCACAGTTCTGTCTGGATGTCAGTAGAATCCCTAAAGACTGCAGGGAGAGAGGAAAACACCGCTTGGGTTTGTCCTTCACACTGAGAACTACACAAAGCTGTAATGATTTTTCCCTGCTTTGTCTCATTTCTCCTTTCTGCCCCTTTCTCTAAATTCACACGTGGGTTATTGTAACAGACCCAGATCAAACGTAATTACTTCTCTGAAATGAACTTCCATCAAAACTTTACCGATTTCTTCTCCTCAATTAGAACACTTGGTCTATAGTCCTGAGCGCATTGTGTCCTACACTGACATTACTCACTTTCTGGTCTGGTCTTCCTTCCTACATAATAAAGTCCTTGAGCCTGGAGACCCTAGTCTGGAAAAAGCCACTAAGCTAGTTACAGCGTGCATGTACACATACACATAAATAATCAGATGAAAAGTTGATTTCAATCAATGGTTTCTATGCACCTACTCTATGTCAGCCATAACAAACACAGCCCCTGCCCTGATGTGGTTCACAGTCACATGGTATGAATGAATGCATATACAAAGCCATTTTATGTATAACTGATTTTTAGCATGTTCCAAATAACTATAGTAAGAATAAAATGTGCCCTGACACATGGCTGGTAAGATATCACAGAGATTTTCACAAACAAGAAGGAACACTGTTGGCTTCTCAAGGAATTGCCCCTGGGAAATGGTATAGATATCTTAGGCAATCAAGCCTAGCTTAAACAAAATGTGCACTGCAATGCTCTGAAGACAGAGTGTTTGGAAAGAATTCTGCCAAATCAAGCCTGACTCTTTTGCCTCAACAATTGACCTTAGAGATTGAACTTACACTTGACTGGAGTTCCTTGCTGTCAACCAGAGGATTCGGCATATCAGCTACAATGGTAAGAAATGAGGAATGGCAAAGCCCCACTGCTTTCTCATAGCTACTGGCTTTGAGCAAAAAAAGGAAAAAACTCATCTTCTAGACTTCAGTATTATATTCTAAGAATTTCCCTTCACCTCAAATAATGAGACTCTTGGGAACAACAGACTTGGCAAAGGTAAAATAATATAGATGTTATATTTTAGTCAAGATATGCAACCACAAATTAAGCCGTTCTAGCTAAAGCTTCTCTACTTGCCAAGTAAAGGCATAAGATTAAAGTTTACATACATCAAGTTCCTTGAGATTTCAAAATAACTTTCATCTGAATCATTTCAATTTCATTTAATGTATAATGCATACCAACCTGTGAAGACTCCTCGTTACTTGGAGAAGGATGAAAAGTGAGTCATAGAGTACGTATGTGGTAAATCCAAAGTCATACACTAATTTAAACTGGGACTAAAACCTAAGGGATCTGCTTACAAGTCCACAGCCTTCTTCTGCTACAACATAAAGTCTCATAAAAGGAATTACAAGGGAGACCTTGTCATTAAACTGGAAGTCTCCTTTGTTCTTAAGTAGTCACACTGCACACCAAATGGCTTTCTGTGAACTTTACCTCTTTCAGGCAACCCATGAAGTTGTTGCTAACAGGTGAGCCTGGTAGGTCAGCAGTACTTGGGCTTCCTCCCACGTAGAAGAAGTCATCTGAGCCCAGCATAGTGTAGTCTTCCTGAGTATATCCCGTCGTGGTAAGAATGCCATCCACAGATATTGTCACCTGGTAGAGGGACACAGGGACAAAGAAAAAGAAAAAAAAAAAAAAATCCCAGCAATGACCTTCTGGTTCTTTCAAAATCCAATGGCTTCCCCCTACCTGTAACATCATTTTCATTATGGTTTTGGTAAGATATTCTTTCTAATTTGGTTTGATTTTATTATGTGCAGCCAAGTTCCATTTTCTGGTCTGCCTCCCTTGTGGCCCAAACCTCCATTATTCCCCTGCAGATTCAGGGGAGAGTTTGTTGGAATTGCCAAGCTGAGCATCTAGTTCTCCCCATTGCACTCTTTATTGAGCCAAGCTAGAAAATGGAACCATCCTTAAACAATGCCACTTGTCTCAGTTTACTGGTAAAATGTTCATTTATTTCTTAAATGATGGTTATTTATGGTAGCAGTGAAGAACAGCAAAGGAGACATTTGACAATGGGTTTTGTTAGGGGTTGGTCTTTGGTTGTGAATGTTTTCGTTGCTTTTTTTCTTTTCTTTTTCTTTCTTTTTTGTCTCACACCACACTGACAAACATGCATTCAGGGCGGGAAGGAGAAGGGCCTTGCTTTTGATGAGTTATGAATGATACATGCCATGGATAATCCCAGGACACCAACCCCTGCCCTCCCTTCCCTGCCATCACCACCACCAAGAGAAGAAACAGCCCAAACCAAAATGGCAACTCTAACATAAAGAAAGGAATTATAAGGCATAAAACCCAAAATAATGAGAAGAATAATGCCCACAGGGAAGGCACAGTACCCGTACTTCCATCATTCACAAGAAGAGCAGAGGGCAGAGAGAAGAGATGGACCACAAGACGTGCACACACTGCATATGCTGACACACCCATGCAAAAATGATTGGGAGCCAAGAGAGGGGCTGAAGAAAAAAGGTCAGGGAGTGGTAAAAAGTGAGGAGAAATCAAGGAATAAAGGAAGGAATCAAAATCCACTTCACACTTACATGCACTGAACAAACTGGAAAACAAGATGGAAGTGGGTGGGGGGGGGGAATACAACACTCAAAACTAATGGGTAGTCTTTTCCCTGTCTGCCACCTCCCTCACTGATTAAAAAAAAAGAAAAGAAAAAGTCCAAACCCAACCCTAAACTAGATGAAGGATGATAGGAGAATGAAAAAGATGAGTGGGGAAAAGAAAAAGAAGAAAGTGAGGTTGAATTGATGGTTGGTAGTTTGTTAGTAATGGGAAGGGAAATGAGAGAATGGATTCTGATGCCAATGGGAAGTCAACGAGACGAGACAGAAACATGCCATGCAGGATTTATGGTGGGCACGGTGGTTGGTGGAGCTCCCTTTGGCCAAATAGGGGAGTGAGGTCAGAGAAGGGACAGGAAGTCTAGGAGGTGCTTTCCTCCACAGATCACCTGAGGCAGATGTGGCCACACAAAAGGGAAAGAGACAAGGAGTTAGGAGTAGGTAGGAGGAAGAAGAAAGGAGAGAAGGTAACAGGGGTAAGAAGAGACAGACAGAAGAAAGGCTCCACTAGAAATCTCTGCAATCCCTAGTCTATAACTTGGAAGTAACAAAATAAGAACAAAAAATTAAATTCAGCTGAATAGAGAAAATTCAATATATATATGCAATATATATATTACGGGGGGAAAATAATAAACATTGGAGAAAAGGAAACCTTACCCTACCAAACTCAACCAAATCTTGTTTCCAGGACAAGAGAATCCCCATCTTTTTTTTTTTTTTTTAAGAAAAAGGGAGTTTTTCATTTAGTTCAACAAAAATTTAAAAAGAAGAAGAAATTAGTCTACAGAGGATCAAAGGGGGGTCAGGAAGGAAGAGGGGGCAACACACGGCAAACCCAAAAAAAGAGACAATAAGAATGATATCTACCAGACAATGTAGTTTGTTTACCATAGCGTGTCCAATGCCTGAGTGCTTTGCGGAAAAGGGGGAAGAAAGGAAATTAAAAACTTGTGAACAGAACGATTGTTAATTAAAAAAACTAAAAACAAAGATGAGTCGTTAGGGTGTTAGTACATTAGTTGGTTAGTAAAATGACACATTGCATGAATGATCTTGTGTTAGTTATTCAAAAAAAGGCACCCAACACAGAAAGAGAGAGTGGGGAAAGACAATGAGACCAGGACTTTATGGAAAACCTTGCCACCCCAGGCAACTCAGGAAGGGGCTGCATTTCCACCTTGTCATTGCACGTTCCCACTTCTTCTAAAGACCACTCTGAGCAGATCTCACCCTGTTAGAGTTAGCACCATACTTACGTTTCAAGGACTCTTCTGAGTGAACACCGCCCCCTGACCCTTCCCACCCTTTAACAGACAATCCACCTGTGCTAAAAGAAAAGGCCCCCTAATTTTATAGTCCCCCATGTAAATCTGAAATACCAATATGTCAGGATTTTTATCCCCACATCTGATTCTGACTACATAGCTGGGTGATCCTAACTCTCTCCTAGAAAGAAAAGAACCTCAAACATTTTCAGATCACACCTATCATAGGAAGGCTACATTATGTAGCAGTGGTTATTTTTAAGCGTCATCAAGTCAGTTCCGACTCATAGAGACTCTGTATAGGGTGTTTCCGAGGCTTTAACTCTACTTAGGAGTAGAAAGCTTCATCTTTCTTTCATGGCATGACTGGTAGGATTGAACCACAGCCTAGTCATTATCCAACGGAGCCACTGTGTTACCTAACGTAGTATGGGGAAGTTCAAGACTCAAGTGTCCCTAGATTTTTGTAGATATGTTAGGGGACTCGACGGCACTTAACAACAACAACAACAATGTTAGGGGAAGAAGAGGAAACAAAACAATTTCCTCTTTCCTTTACTTATAGTTTAGAAGACTCACATCATTGGAATGCATAAAAAAAGTTTGAGTCTTAGACATTTTTTTACACACCCCACCTCAAAATTTTTACTTTGCCAGGATGCTTTGTGTTAAAATCTCTCTCTCCTTTGACAGCACTTTTCAAGCTTTTAAGCAGGAACCTAGATGAGTAGCAGGGAGGACTGGCCGATTCCACAGGATATGAGAATGTCTCCTCATTGCTCATTTTCAATATTTAATTGCCAACACTCTCTGAGCCGGGAGGTTGGAGAGCTAGAACCCTGGTAATCTCAATGTTGTGGGCGCTGTTTGACAGAATGACATCTAGAGGTAGAACAACCCATGTGATGACCTTGACCTTGTTCAGGCAGAGTCATGGACTCCCTAACAAATATAATTTTAAAAGAAAACCAAACAATAACATGATCTCTAATCCTAGTTATAATTTGGAGCAGAGAATCTGCATTGCTTCTTTCAATCAGAACTCCTTTCCCTTGACTTGGTTCAAAGGCAGAGGCACGAGGTGATGATCCTGGAGGTAAAACTGGAGAGACTTCTACTCCATTTGCCAGTGAATTTACCATGAAACCCAGGTTAGCTCTCACCAGATAAATGCTCTGCCACAGAAGCCCTTCAACCTTACAGAACAGGCAGACAAGACCACCATCAACTGGCTTGCAAATATTCATCAATCTATTTACAGTTTGATTTAGACAGGGACTTTCCAACCCTTTAAGAATCCTATGGAACTCAAAAAGATGCTATAAATGTTATTGGGCAAAATAATAATCTTAGGTGATTTGGTGTTAAAAAGATTACAGTTGAAAACTCAACTCTGCTTATCTGAGATTTCCATCTCTTTCTGTAAATTGCATTTGGTTGTACACCCGTAGTCAGGAGTTCAGTGAGGCCCAATTTAGGTAGGCTTTCTCACAGTGGTTAAGGTGCTCAGCTGTTTACCAAAAGTGAGTGGTTTGAACCCACCAGCCACTCCACAGGAGAAAGATGTGACAATCTGCTTCTGTGGAGAGTCACAGTCTTAGTTCTGCTCGGTCCTACAGGGTCCCTATGAACTGGAATTGAGTCGATGGAAGACAGTTTTTCAGCAAAGCAAAAGCCTAGGGTCACTGTAGCCTTGTCTGGGACTGAGAGCTCTACTTAACTGCCTTTTTGGCATCAGACAGATGCAGTCACCTTTGAGATGGAATGTTGTCTTTGTAAATCATGTGCATTGTCGCAGTGAGTCTAGCACTCAGACCAGGGATGAGCTCATAATCCTTCCGGAACATAAGGTGCTTTGCATATTTAGCCATCACACATGGTTGGGGAGGATTGTAATCACCATTTCACAAATGCAAACTAGTGTTGAAAGGTTAGATGGCTTGGCCAAGGACACAGAGAGGAGTTGGGTTTCAGAACTTGGCACAGACACCTCTCAGACTGGCTTTTCTCTGGCTAGTCTGTCGAAAACACCAACACCAATATTTAATTACAGCTTGGATTATTCCCTCTCAGTTTAAAGGACTTCATTGGGGCCTGATTCTATTTTAGAAAAGGGTTTTTTTTAGTAGAAATAAAAGTGAACCTGGCTTAGGCTAATGGGACTCATTCCAGAATGGCAGGAAAGTGTGTGGGGTGGAAGAGTTAGCAAAACTGACTAATGCCTAACATGTGTTATATGTATCTGCCTGTCAAACTGGCAAAAGGTCACTCTTGAATTATTTAGTCTAGTCTCTGAAGCTCAAACATATCAAGGCCTTATATGTTATTAAATGGGAATCTGATGCGGGTTCTCATGACAGTCAAGTTTTCATCTGAGTGTTAAAGGGGATGGGTGGTGGTGGTGAAAGAAACTATCAACAATAGGGTCCTTTGCCATTAAAGGAAGCAAAAAAAACAGCCAAAACTTCCCAGTCCAGGGGCGTGAAGATGCTCGGAGACTCTAGTGTTGGTGGCTTTAGTTATCTTCAGCACAAATAGGATGGCTTCTCTCAATCAGGTGGCTTCCTCAGTATACCTCAGCATGGAGTTGTGTGCTGTAGTCATTATCTATTGGCAATGTGAGTGGGCCTATTCCATTTCTTTAGCATTAGTAAGGAGTCATGCTTTTATCAAACAGAAAACACGTGCAAACACCCATCAGTTCTTATGCTTTCATGTTTACGTTTATATCAATCAGTCCTATCACGGAGGAACATTTGATAAGCACTTTCTGGAAATTTACATCATGTTTTACGAATAGAAAAGGATAAATGTTGTCCAGTTGGGTTTAATGACAAATTCACAAGTAGATAAACCAAATGGAAATGGTCATCTGGAAAAGGCAGTTTCACTATAGACCTTGTTTTTACAGGAAAAAATAAGCGCTTTCTCCTCACTGGTATGGGTTGGTGAAGTAGTAGTATTGTTATGCTTAGTGTTCATAACTATTAAGTTGAAAGCAATTTCACTTGACTAAGGCGCTCTGAGACTGTTGTCACCTGACAGTTGCCTGCTTAGAATCAGCAAATGATGGGAGTTCTCAAGCATGGACCGAACCAGGACAGGCTGCTCCAAAGTTGACGTTTTATTTGGGTCCTTCCACTTTCCAGGCCTCCCAGTCAATTGAAGCGTCTCGGAGGTAGAGACAGGGATAATAAAGGAGGGCCACAGCACCAAGGAACTGAGAAACAGAGGAATTCAGAAAGATTCCAGAGAATTCATTCCGAGGTTAGAGGTTAAAATAACAAGAGGGGAGAGAAAAGGGAGGGAAGATGGTAAATTAAAAAGGAAGAGAGAAAGAAAGACTTTTCTGGAAGGAATTCAAATTATGGCTTCATGGTAACGGCTAACTTAATTAAAAAGGAAAAAAAAAAACACACACACACACACATATATTCAAAGAATGAAGAAAATCTACCCAGCTGCAGAAACAGAATGCTGTTCCTAATTAAATTTAACAATAACATGATAGATTCAAATGTAATTAAGTAAATGATAAAAAGGAAAGCAGAATAAAAGGGATGAAAGTATTCATAACTTTCATTATCTACACAACTGAACCTCTTTCTTAAAATAATAAGCATAAATGGAGAATTGAAGTATGAAGAGAAATATACTTTAAGAATTTCCCTTGTGAAATTGCAAAGACTGGGAGAAAGTTAGACTCTGACATATCCAAACCCGCATCTCTATCCTCTTCAGCTCACCCATCACCTGCTCCATATACTTCCTGCTTCATTGCTTAGGAAACACCTTTCTCTACACTCTTTCCCTTCAACCATTACCTGTCGGAGGTTGCGTGTCACTTTCACATCATGCCAGGCGTTGTCGTTGAACTTGCCATTCACGGGCTCCACAATGGCCTCAAAGGCCCCGGACCCCAGATTAATGACCAAGGAGACTGCACCATCCTTCAGAGCCAGGTTGACATAGTCAGCCGATTTTCCCGTGTGCAGGATGAGCCCATTTCGCTGCCAGGTCTTAAAGGAGAGGGTGATCTCATCGCTGCTGCTCTGGATCGGATTCTGAGACAGGTCATAGCACAGGTACTCTGAGCCCCGGAAAGTGGCCACATTCTCCTCTCGAGCTGTAGCGATAGGAAAGAAGAAAGGAGTCAACACTTGACTAACCTGAAGCAGGTCCATGAAAACAGGTTCCAAGGGCATTGCCTCTATCATGTGCTCTCGAATCTTCCACCAGCACATATCTGAATACCAAGGGAGACTAGCTGAGAAGAGGACTACTGAGAAGCTATTTGTCTACACCAGGATAAAAGACAAACAAGTTTGTGCAGGTGCACTTGCTGTCTGTCCTTAAGATTTCCTCAGGGACAAACCTTAAGGGAAATTTCATGCAAAACAGTAAAGTGAGGCTTACATTGCATTAACTACAAGGATGACTTTTAAATGCATGTAGAAGAGTTGCTTTAGAGTAGATCATGAACTGGTCTGACAAAGGGTTCTTTAGCTTTAGGTACACTTTACTGACCAACAACTAATAATCAATTACCCTGAAAGATTTGCCCCTGATTTCCATCCATTAACAACATAGCAAACTTTAGTCACCCTGGTAGAGTCCTGAGCTCAGTGGAATGTGTCTGGGTTATTAAGTAGGGAGTAGACCTGAGAAGATGATCAAGCAGGTTAGGAAAGGGGACTAGAATAAAATTGTATGGTATGTTTTGACTACACAGCAATGTTGTCATTGTTAGGTACCACTGAGTCAGTTCCAACTCATAGAGACCCTATGCACACCAAAACAAAACACTGTCTGGTCCTGTCACATCCTCGCAATTGTTGCTATGTTTGAGCCCATTGCTGCTGCCACTGTGCCAATCCATCTTCTTGGGGGTCATCCTCTTTTTTGCTGCCCTGCGATGCTTTACCAAGCATGATATCCATCTCCAGATTGGTCAATACTGCTCTTAAAAACCAAAGGCAAACCCACTGCCTTCAAGATGCTTCACTAACAGTGACCCTAAAGGACAGAGTAGAACTGCTTCTTGGTGGTTCTGAGATTGTACATCTTTATGGGAGCAGACAGCCTCATCTTTTTCCCATGGAGCAGTTGGTGGATTTGAACTAACAACCTTTTGATTAGCAGCCCAATGCCAAACCCACAGAGTCACCAGGATTCTTCATACTACCCCTGTTGTTATTGTTGTTGTTAGGTACCATTGAGTCAATAGCGACTTAGACTCAAGCAAAAGGGGCTTTTGCTAGAGGTCTCCTACTTTAGATGACTCTGGTCTGACTTGCTTATGACTCCGCTTAGGACTGGGAATTCACAGAACTAATATGACAGTCCATCTGGAGCCCATATTACCCTTAAGATCATATCCTAGATGCTGTTGTCCTAATTCTCTGTCCAAAGATACCTAAGATTGTTTCCCTGGCTTCTGTGTGCCTCCTATCTGAAGACAAACCATAATGTCAAAGTTTAAGCACAAGAAGTAGCCAGACGAGGCTGTGGTCAGAATTAGCCATATGGGGTGGAAGTCTGGTAGCGTAGTGGTTATGAATGGGGCTGCAAACTGCAAGGTCAGCAGTTCAAAACTACCACCTGCTCCGCAGGAGAAACATGAGACTTTCTGCTCCCGTAAAGATTCACAGCCTCAGAAACCCTGTTCAGGGTTGCTATGGGCCAGAACCGACTTGACGGCACTTAACAACAACAACAGCGACTTAGGTATATGATGGAGTCCAAGGTGGGAAAAAAAGAGGGCAGGTTGAGGACCAGGGAGCGATTCTCTTTGTGCTACCATTTTCTAATGTGGAATTTCAAAGAATCTAAAAATTCTGAGCTCTAACCTGACTTTCCAAGTAATCATAAAAATATTTTTGCCTATGTAAGAAGACAGATTACAACGGAATTCAAAATGTTTGTTTTCAAAATTGAAAAATTCCATTATCTTTTAATTCCATTTTCCACAAACTTTATGAAGCTCCCTCAGATATTTTACTTCATTTATTGACTTTTTATTTTGACATATAGCACGTATGTGGACTTGGATTTGTTTTCTTGCCAAAAAACCTGACTTACACTAATTTCATATCATAGTTGATCAAAACTACCCAAAGCACCTACTGATGAAAGAAAATTGACAACTATACAGGTTAGATATACATTTTCCATCTAAAGACTGTGGGGAAGGGGGTGCTACAAGATGAGATTGAGAAAAATCCATTTTCCCTCTCTGAAATACACTCCCATCTTATTAAACAAAGCCAAGTCTACGTCACTTAGTTCTTTATCACCCATCACATCACTGAAGTAAAACAAAATACCCTCTCAACATGAGCTAAAAGCTATAAAGAAGTCTCTGTCATAACTGTGACATGACCACTCACTTCTTATTAAATGTCGTCAAGTCATTCCAACTCACAGTGATCCTGTATAGGGTTTATAAGGAATGGCTGGTGGATTTGAACTGCCAACATTGTGGTAAGCTGTTCAATGCTTATCTTACAGCACCACACCAGTTTCACTCACTTTGTTGTTCTTGTTAAGTGACCCAGAGCTATCCTGTTTCCGAGGACTAGCTGGTAAGCTTGAACCACCCACCTTGCAGTTCAAACTGACTTTACAGCCCAGCGCATTAACCCACAGCACCACACCAGGATCACTCACTATGTACTGTTAAATTTATCATAGCATTGAGACATCATTACAGCATGAACCTCAACTTCACACTCGAGAGAGTTAAAGAAGAAAACAAGTTTCTCTAATGTGTTTCAGACAGCCTTAATGACATGTGTCTACCTATGAATGCAGATTTCTCTTTGCACATACATACTGATATAAGCAAAAGGAATATGTTTTTTACATGCTTAACATGTAGCTTAAACATTTGTAAACACCAAATATCACTCAGAACATAACTCAGGCCAGATAGATTTTATCAAAAATAGTCAGAAACTAGTACAGAGCAGAAATTTGATACTATCTATCTATGTGTTTGAAATTGAATTTAGAGATCATCTGAAGAAAAGATTTGATACATTAAACACTAAAGATAGAAGAGTTGTGGGATGACATCAAGAACACCATACATTACGAAGACAAGAAAGAAGGAAAAGATCAAAATGGATGGCAGAGGAGACACTGAAACTTGCTCTCCAACATAGAGATGCTAAAGCAAAAGGAAGAAATGAGGAGGTACAAGAACAGAAAATTTCAAAGATCAGCTCGAGAAGATAAAGCCAAATATTACAACAAAATGTGCAAAGATCTAGAATCAGAAAACCAAAAAGGAAGAACACACTCCGCATTTCTCAAGCTGGGGGAACTGAAGAAAAAATTCAAGCCTCTACTTGAATTATTGAAGGATTCTCTGGGCAAATTATTGAATGATGCAGAAAGCATCAAAAGAAGATAGAAGGAATACACAGAGTCACTATAGCAAAAGGAAACAGTTGGTGTTCAACCATTTCAAGAGGGAGCATATGATCAAGAGCCAATGATACTGAAGGAAGAAGTCCAAGGTACATTGAAGGAATTAGCAAAGAACAAGGAATTGATGGAATACAAATTGACATCTTTCAAAAAAGTAAGGCAGCGCTCACTCATCTACGCCAAGAAATTTGAAAGACAACTATCTGGCCGACTGCTTGGAAGAGATCCATATTTGTGCCCATTCCAAAGAGAAGTGACCCAATGGACTGTGGAAATCATCAGGCAATCTCTTTGATATCCCATGTGAGTAAAGTTTTGCTAAAGGTAATACAGAAATGGCTACGATCATACACTGAAAGAGAACTTCCAGAGGTTCAAGCCAGATTCAGAAGAGGCCATGGAATGAAGGATATCATTGCTGATGTCCAATGAATGTTGGCTGAAAGCAGAGGATATCAGAAAAATGTCTACCTGTCATCTGACAATATCTTTGATATCCCATGCAAGTAAAGTTTTACTAAAGGTAATACAGAAATGGCTGCAAGCATACATTGACCAAGAACTTCCAGAGGTTCAAGCTGGAATCAGAAGAGGACATGAAATGAAGTATGTCATTGCTGATGTGTGATGGATCATGGCTGAAAGCAGAGAATACCTGAAAGATATTTACCTGTGCTTTATTGACAATGCTAAGGCTTTCAGTTGTGTGGATCATGACAAGCTATAGACAACACTGCGAAGTACGAGTATTCTGGAACACTTAATTATGCTCATGAGGAATCTGTACATGGACCAAGAGGCAGTTGTTTGAACAGAACATGGGAAGACTGAGTGGTTTAAAATTAGGAAAGGTGTGCTACAGGGTTGTATTCTTTCACCATACTTATTCAACCTGTATGCTGAGCAAATAATCTGAGAAGCTGAGTTATATGAAGAAAAATGTAGCATGAGGATTGGAGGAAGACTCATTATCAACCTGCGACATGCAGATGATACAACCTTGCTTGCTGAAAGTGAAGAACTTAAAATATTTACTGATGAAGATCAAAGAGCACAGCCTTTGGTATAGATTGCATCTCAATGTAAAGAAAACAAAATTATCACCACTGGACCAATAAACAACATTCTTATCAATGGAGAAAAGATTGAAGTTGTCAAGGACTTCATTCTTCTTGGATCAACTATCAACACTCACAGAAACAGCAGTCAAGAAATCAAACAACATGTTGCATTAGGTAAATCTGCTGCATAGGACCTTTAAAGTGTTGAAGAACAAAAATGTCAGCTTGAGGACTAAAATGTGCCTGACCCAAGTCATGGTATTTTCAATAACCTCATATGCATGTTAAAGCTGGACAGTGAATAAGGAAGAATGTAGAAGAATTGATGCATTTGAGTTATGGTGTTGGAGGAGAATATTGAAAGTACCATGGGCTGCCAAAAGAACCAATAGATCTGTGTTGGAAGAAATGCAGCCAGAGTGCTCCTTGGAGGCCACACACTTTGTGTCTCATACATTGGACATACTGTCAGAAGGGACCAGTAGCTGGAGAAGGACATCATGTTTAGTAAGGTGGAGCGTCAGAGAAAAGGAGGAAGACCCCCAGTAAGATGGATTGGCAAAGTGTCAGCTTCAATGGGCTGAAGCGTGGCAACAATTGTGAGGTTGGCCCAGGACCCGGCAGTGTT